TCTACTCTACTCTACTCTACTCTACTCTACTCTATTCTATTAAGTCTGGAGCAGAAACAGCATATCTACGTTATACTGAGAGGAGGAGCATAGAAAACGGATGTAGATGTGCGAGAGAAAGAAGTGTGATGGAGGCGGACGTACTCTGTAGACGAGTCCTCCGGCGCTGGAACAGGTCAGGACATGTTGTCCTTCAGAGTCGAAGGCGAACAGTCGGCCCCTGGGGACCTGGACCTTCAGAGAGTGAAAGTGACATCATCAGGCCGTTACCTCACCACTGTGAACAGGCTCCGCCTCATTCCAACCGGCCGCACGGGGAGGGTGCACCGTCTGTGACTTTCTACCCGTACTCAGCCGGCCCCCACCTGTTTATAGCCGCTGTATCCGGACAGGACGAAGGGGCCCGTGGCGTCCTGCGGTAGAACCTGCTCTGACTGCTTGACGCCGCAGCGGTGGATGTTCCACTGGATGAACTGCAACCAGACACATGGAGTTACAGCCTGTGGCCTGCGGGGGCAGCAGAGTCCCCCACGCGCCGCTCACCTTCCCATCCTCTCCCACACTGAACACTGTGTTCTCGTCGTAGCTGAACTCCACGCTGTAAACCTCGCCGTCATGAGCTCTCCAGCTCATGGCGCTCTCGTATCGCTGCATATCTGCAGCAGGAAGAGGGGAGGAGTCAGTGGGACTGAACAGCGGCGGATAAAGATGTGGGAGAGTCTGATGAGACCAACCAAAGAGTCTGATGACGCCATCAGCAGCTCCCGTTACCAGCAGGTTCCCATTGTGGTTGAAGGCGGTGCAGTTGATGGCTACTGGTTCTGGTTCCAGAGAGAACTGGAGCTGGAAGATAAACCATCAGAGTCCATGAAAACGCTCGTATCGACGCTCAGACAGGTCTGCTCTGATCAGCTTCACGCTGCTGCTTCCCCACCTGCTGTTTGACCGTCTTGGTGTCCCAGAGGAGCAGCTGACCCGACACTGGGATGGGCAGCCGAGGGACGGCGTCGGCTCCTCCGGAGCGACTGAGAGCGGCGGCGCAGCAGACGAAGGAAGAACCGCTGGGGCTGCAAGCTAACGACAAGATTCTGACAGAAGAAGAAGAATGACCATCATCACTGCTTCTCAGTTCAAATCCATTCATCAAAACTTCAAGCTTTATTTTCCAAAACTCTTTAGTTGGAATTTGGACAAAATTACACAGAATTTAGCTGCAAGTAGCAGCTAGCAGGTTAGCCTGTTGCTAACATCCATCAGCATCACTATGGCAACACATACTGGCTGTTTACTGCTGTTTCTACTGTACTATGCACCATATTTATCCATCCATCCTTCCATCATCCATCCATCCATCATCCATCCATCCATCCATCCATCATCCATCCATCCATCATCCATCATCCATCCATCCTCCATCCATCCATCCATCATCCATCCATCCATCATCTATCCATCATCCATCCATCATCCATCCATCATCCATCCATCCATCCATCATCCATCCATCC